AGTCTTGCTAGTGGTCTGTGAATTTTGTTGATCTTTTCAAAAAACCAACTCCTGGATTCATTGATTTTTTGGAGAGTTTTTTGTGTCTCTATCTCCTTCAGTTCTGCTCTGATCTTAGTTATTTCTTGCCTTCTGCTAGCTTTCGAATGTGTTTGCTCTTGCTTCTCTAGTTCTTTTAATTGCCATGTTAGAGTGTCAATTTTAGATCTTTCCTGCTTTCTCTTGTGGGCATTTAGTGCTATAAATTTCCCTCTACACACTGCTTTAAATGTGTCCCAGAGATTCTGGTATGTTGTATCTTTGTTCTCATTGGTTTCAAAGAACATCTTTATTTCTGCCTTCATTTCGTTATGTACCCAGTAGTCATTCAGGAGCAGCTTGTTCAGTTTCCATGTAGTTGAGCGGTTTTGATTGAGTTTCTTAGTCCTGAGTTCTAGTTTGATTGCACGGTGGTCTGAGAGACAGTTTGTTATAATTTCTGTTCTTGTACATTTGCTGAGGAGTGCTTTACTTCCAATTACGTGGTCGATTTTGGAGTAAGTACGATGTGGTGCTGAGAAGAATGTATATTCTGTTGATTTGGGGTGGAGAGTTCTATAGATGTCTATTAGGTCTGCTTGCTGCAGAGATGAGTTCAATTCCTGGATATCCTTGTTAACTTTCTGTCTCGTTGATCTTTCTAATGTTGACAGTGGAGTGTTGAAGTCTCCCATTATTATTGTATGGGAGTCTAAGTCTCTTTGTAAGTCTCTAAGGACTTGCTTTATGAATCTGGGTGCTCCTGTATTGGGTGCATATATATTTAGGATAGTTAGCTCTTCCTGTTGAATTGATCCCTTTACCATTATGTAATGGCCTTCTTTGTCTCTTTTGATCTTTGATGGTTTAAAGTCTGTTTTATCAGAGACTAGTATTGCAACCCCCACTTTTTTTTGTTCTCCATTTGCTTGGTACATCTTCCTCCATCCCTTTATTTTGAACCTATGTATGTCTCTGCGTGTGAGATGGGTCTCCTGAATACAGCAGACTGATGGGTCTTGACTCTTTATCCAGTTTGCCAGTCTGTGTCTTTTTTTTTTTTTTTTTTTTTTGAGACGGAGTCTCGCTATGTCGCCCAGGGTGGAGTGCAGTGGCCGGATCTCAGCTCACTGCAAGCTCCGCCTCCCGGGTTTTTACGCCATTCTCCTGCCTCAGCCTCCCGAGTAGCTGGGACTACAGGCTCCCACCACCTCGCCCGGCTAGTTTTTTGTATTTTTTAGTAGAGACGGGGTTTCACCGTGTTAGCCAGGATGGTCTCGAACTCCTGACCTCGTGATCCGACCGTCTCGGCCTCCCAAAGTGCTGGAATTACAGGCTTGAGCCACCGCGCCCGGCCCAGTCTGTGTCTTTTAATTGGAGCATTTAGTCCATTTACATTTAAGGTTAAGATTGTTATGTGTGAACTTGATCCTGCCATTATGATATTAACTGGTTATTTTGCTCGTTAGTTGATGCAGTTTCTTCCTAGCCTCGATGGTCTTTACATTTTGGCATGTTTTTGCAATGGCTGGTACAGGTTGTTCCTTCCATGTTGAGTGCTTCCTTCAGGGTCTCTTGTAAGGCAGGCCTAGTGGTGACAAAATCTCTAAGCATTTGCTTATCTGTAAAGGATTTTATTTCTCCTTCACTTATGAAACTTAGTTTGGCTGGATATGAAATTCTGGGTTTAAAACTCTTTTCTTTAAGAATGTTGAATATTGGCCCCCACTCTCTTCTGGCTTGGAGAGTTTCTGCCGAGAGATCTGCTGTTAGTCTGATGGGCTTCTCTTTGTGGGTAACCCGACCTTTCTCTCTGGCTGCCCTTAAGATTTTTTCCTTCATTTCAACTTTGGTGAATCTGGCAATTATGTGTCTTGGAGTTGCTCTTCTCGAGGAGTATCTTTGTGGCGTTCTCTGTATTTCCTGGATTTGAATGTTGGCCTGCCCTACTAGGTTGGGGAAGTTCTCCTGGATGATATCCTGAAGAGTGTTTTCCAACTTGGTTCCATTTTCCCCCTCACTTTCAGGCACCCCAATCAGACGTAGATTTGGTCTTTTTACATAATCCCACACTTCTTGCAGGCTTTGTTCATTTCTTTTTCTTCTTTTTTCTTTTGGTTTCTCTTCTCGCTTCATTTCATTCATTTGATCCTCAATCGCAGATACTCTTTCTTCCAGTTGATCGAGTCGGTTACTGAAGCTTGTGCATTTTGTCACGTATTTCTCGTGTCATGGTTTTCATCTCTTTCATTTCGTTTATGACCTTCTCTGCATTAATTACTCTAGCCATCAATTCTTCCACTTTTTTTTCAAGATTTTTAGTTTCTTTGCGCTGGGTACGTAATTCCTCCTTTAGCTCTGAGAAATTTGATGGACTGAAGCCTTCTTCTCTCATCTCGTCAAAGTCATTCTCCGTCCAGCTTTGATCCGTTGCTGGCGATGAGCTGCGCTCCTTTGCCGGGGGAGTTGCGCTCTTATTTTTTGAATTTCCAGCTTTTCAGCCCTGCTTTTTCCCCATCTTTGTGGTTTTATCTGCCTCTGGTCTTTGATGATGGTGATGTACTGATGGGGTTTTGGTGTAGGTGTGCTTCCTGTTTGATAGTTTTCCTTCTAACAGTCAGGACCCTCAGCTGTAGGTCTGTTGGAGATTGCTTGAGGTCCACTCCAGACCCTGTTTGCCTGGGTATCAGCAGCAGAGGCTGCAGAAGATAGAATATTTCTGAACAGCGAGTGTACCTGTCTGATTCTTGCTTTGGAAGCTTCCTCTCAGGGGTGTACTCCACCCTGTGAGGTGTGGGGTGTCAGACTGTCCCTAGTGGGGGATGTCTCCCAGTTAGGCCACTCAGGGGTCAGGGACCCACTTGAGCAGGGAGTCTGTCCCTTCTCAGATCTCAACCTCCGTGTTGGGAGATCCACTGCTCTCTTCAAAGCTGTCAGACAGAGTCGTTTGCGTCTGCAGAGGTTTCGGCTGCGTTTGTTATTGCCCTGTCCCCAGAGGTGGAGTCTACAGAGACAGGCAGGTTTCCTTGAGCTGCTGTGAGCTCCACCCAGTTCCAGCTTCCCAGCAGCTTTGTTTACCTACTTACTTAAGCCTCAGCAATGGCAGGCGCCCCTCCCCCAGCCTCGCTGCTGCCTTGCTGGTAGATCACAGACTGCTGTGCTAGCAATGAGGGAGGCTCCGTGGGTGTGGGACCCTCCCGGCCAGGTGTGGGATATGATCTCCTGGTGTGCCTGTTTGCTTAAATAAGCGCAGTATTGGGGTGGGAGTTACCCGATTTTCCAGGTGTTGTGTGTCTCAGTTCCCCTGGCTAGGAAAAGGGATTCCCTTCCCCCTTGCGCTTCCCAGGTGAGGCAATGCCTCACCCTGCTTCAGCTCTCGCTGGTCGGGCTGCAGCAGCTGACCAGCACCGATCGTCCGGCACTCCCCAGTGAGATGAACCCAGTACCTCAGTTGAAAATGCAGAAATCACCGGTCTTCTGTGTCGCTGGCGCTGGGAGTTGGAGACTGGAGCTGTTCCTATTCGGCCATCTTGCTCCGCCCTCCTGCTTGAAGTATTTCTTCTGTTTCTGTCTCTTTTTCTTCTCCTATTGATACTCTGAATATGCATATATTAACATCTTTTGTAATTGTTCATCAGTTCCTGAATATTCTACTCAATGTTTTTCATTTTTTTTTTCTCTTTGCATTTCAGTTTCCCACATTTTTGTTGACACGTATTTAAGCTTACTGGTTCTTTCCTCAGTCTTGTTCAATCTACTGGTGAACCCTTTAAAAGTAGTCTTCATTTCTGCTACAGTGTTTTTGATTTCTAGTCTTTCCTGTGTATTCTTTGTTGCAGTTTTCATCTGCCCGCTGCTATTACCCATCTGTTCTTATGTGCTGTCCGCTTTTTATATTAGAGCCCTTATATTAATTGTAATTATTTTAAATTTAGTTTTATATTTCTTTTTTGTTTGTTTCTAAGATGGAGTCTTGCTCTGTCACTGAGGCTGGAGTGCAGTGGCATGATCTCAGCTCACTGCAGTCTTCACCTCCCAGGTTCAAGTGAGTCTCGTGCCTCCGCTTCCAGAGTAGCTGGGACTACAGGAGTGCACCACCACACTTGGATAGTTTTTTGTATTTTTAGTAGCGATAGTGTTTCTCCATGTTGGCCAAGCTGGTCTCGAACTCCTGACCTCAGGTGATCTACCCACCTCGGCCTCCCAAAATGCTGGGATTACAGGTGTGAGCTACTGCATTTGGCCTACAGTCTTATATTTCTACAATGTCTGCCTTACCTACATTTGATTCCGATGCTTCTTTTTCTCTTCAGACTGTGTTTATTGCTTTTTGATATGCCTTGTAATTCATTGTTGAAAGCCAGCGATGATGTTCAGATGAAAGGAACTGAGCGAAACAGGTCTTTAATATGAGATTTTGTGTTGATCTGACTAGGAGCTAGGCTGTGCTTAGTTTGCTGTAGCTGTCATTGTCTGACTCTAAAATTTTCTCTGGCATCATTGTTTTTGTGCTCAGATTTTCTCATTTCTTATTAAATAGGACTTGAGACTTGCAGTTCTTTCTGTTGTAATCCTCTCAGTATTGGCCATAGTAGCATGCTTCTGTTCTTGGGATTCTGCCCTTGTTAATTTCTTATTCTCTGTATTCATGTCTCTGTAGTTTTTGAGGGAGTAGATTTTCCTCTGACTTCAGTTCTCTGTTGGATATAAGAAAATGTGTGGATTTTACACTTGTTCAGCTTTTTTCTTTTTGTCAGGATGGGTATAATGACTTCAAGCTTTTTATGTGTTGGACCAGAAATTGGAATCCTGGATCAGTCACTTTTTAATCTCTTGGCTTTAGGTTCTCTATCTCAAAAATAAAGGGTAACATCACTAGTTGGTGGCTAAATGCTCATCTAGCTCTAGCCTTCTGTTCAGTCCTTAAGCACTGACTTTCATGAATATCCCAATATGTAATGTTTGTTTTCCTTCTTCTATAGGCAGACCTACAGGTGGACAAGGAGAGGCACAATTTTTTCGAGTCCTCTCTTGATTATGTTTATCAAATCCAGGAAGTTCAGGAGTCCAAGAAGTTCAATATTGTGGAGCCTGTAAGTTTTCTCTGTTGATGAATGGTCTAAAAATATTTATCAAATGCCCGGTAAATGTACAAACTTTGATCATAAAAACAGAATCTCAAAGAACGTGAAACATAATCATTGGAAATGTCTAGAACATAGTCTAACTTATGTTTTTCTTGTTCTTTAGTATATATATTTCTCTCTTTCCCCCTAACCCTTTCTCTCTTTTTCTGTGGCTATTTTCTTTCTCTTTCCTTTTTTTCCTCTCTCCTTCCCCCTCCCTTCCAGAATTTCTCTACCACTCTTCCTATTACTTTGTTTCCTTCCCTTCCTTCTTCTCATACTTTCAGAAGCCTCTAAAAGTCTCTCTCATATACCAGGTACTGTGCTAGGGACTCATGTCCCTTGCAGTCAATGACTTCTTATTCTACTACTTTTACTTCTGTCTTGTGTAGTTTTTTCCATTTCACATTTTTTCATTCCATTTACTTCTGTCTTGTGTAGATTTTTCCATTTCCGTATATTTGTTTGAGACAGGGTCTCACTATCACGCAAGCTGGAGTGCAGTGGTGCTATCTTGGGTCACTACAACCTGTGTCTCCTGGACTCAAGTGATCCTCGCACCTCAGCCTCCTGAGTAGCTGGAACTACAGATGCGTGCCACCATACTGGGCTAATTTTTTGTATGTTTTTGTAGAGATAAGGTTTCACTATGTTACCCAGGCTGGTCTCCAACTCCTGGGCTCAAGTGATCCCCCTGCCTTGGCTTCCCAAAGTGCCGGGATTACAGGCATGAGCTACCATACCCAGCCCGTGTATTTGATTTTTAATGGGATTGAAAATTTACACAAATATATATTATATATCATTTATATGTCTTTTTCTGCAACCCTGTGAATCATTTCTAGTTTTAAAGTTGGTTTAGACTCTTTTGATCTTTTAGTATTATGACAGTGTTCATTAAAGTAAGGTAGAAAATCTTGCTTTATTCATTTATTTATTTACTTTCATTCATTCAAGAAATATTTATTGAGCACCTATTGTTTGTGGTTGCTGAGGATATATAGAGGAAAGATGCAATTCATTCACATACTGTTCAAATGATGAATGTCTTTATATGAGATCTGAGCAAGCTCTGGGTTAATAAATTTGTTAATAGTTCTTATTTTCTGAAGCTGAGTCAAGGGTAAATGTTTAACCTGATATGAAAACAGTGATGTGTAGACTAGTTTGTATTTGACTGCTATACTGGGTAAACGCCATGGAGTTTTTTTTTGTTGTTGTTGTTGTTGTTGTTGTTTGTTTGTTTTTTGTTTTTCTGAGACAGAGTCTCACTTTGTCACCCAGGCTAGAGTGCAGTGGTGCAATCTCGGCTCACTGCAACCTCTGCCTCCCGAGTTCAAGCGATTCTCCTGCCTCAGCCTCCCAAGTAGCTGGGATTACAGGCGCATGCCACCACGGCCAGCTAATTTTTGTATTTTTAGTAGAGATGGGGTTTCACCATGTTGGTCAGGCTGGTCTCAAACTCCTGACCTTGTGATCTACCCACCTCGGCCTCCCAAAGTGCAGGGATTACAGGTGTGAGCCACTATGCCCAGCCACACCATGGAGTTTTTTGGTGAGTTCATGTTTCTTTTATTTAGTTTATTAGAAGATACTGGTGATAAAGTTATTTTTACATGTTTTCCCTAGGTCTTGGCCTTTCTTCATAGTCTGTTCATTTCTAACAGCCTGACTGTGGAGCTCACACAGGATTTCCTCCCATACAAACAGCAGCTCCAGCTCAGTTTACAGAATGTGAGTTTGCATGTGGATTTTTCTCACTGGTCTTTTCATTCCGATTGAATTTCAGCCCCAGCAACCTTGATTTTTGGAATTCTAGGTTACTGCATCCTAGCTAATTTGTTGGGATATACTGGTGTGGATCACAAATATTTAGTGTATCAGACTGTTCTTGCTCTTCCACTTTCACCTCTTTCCTGTTTTTGAGGCTGACTGCTGTTCAAACCCACCCTTCCACACACCAATACCTTCATCTATGCAATATTTATTAAGTATTGCTAATTTGCTGCATCTCTCTAAGATCAGGACACAGCTATAGGCTTATTTGAGCCCAGGCCTTAAGTTACTTCCCTGCTCATTCAAAACACTCTCACTGTGGACTTTATTACCACAAACACTCATTTTGTCTTTTCTTTTCTCAGTACTTATTAGTAGCATCACATAAATTATTTTTAAAGGTTTTCTCTACCTTCTTTGTCATGCTGGTTCTTACAGATGGGTATGTAGGCAGTGTTCCCATCCTTTTCACATATATTCTTTTACATGTTCCTTTATTCAACCCAGATTAAATAAGTGTTTATGGAAAAAATGAACATAAGCTCTGTGCCAGGCATTGTGAAAGGCACTGGACATGCCATGAGGATGCATGCAAGTTTTTCTGTCTTGAAGGAACATACAGTTTCTTGTAGGAGACAGAAATAAACAGAGATAAATCATAATCCATAATGATAAGTGCTGTAATAGAATCAAGGCCAAAGGTTTTTAAAAAGTTCAGAGCGTTTGGCTACCTGGTAGAGTCAGAGAAGGCATTACTGAGTTGGTGACTTTAGAATGGATGTTAAATTGCATGAAATATATAGATGTAGTTTTAGATGAAAAATGCTGGTAAGTTATAGTGAAAATAAGCCCCCCTTGGTTGTTTAGGAGGACTGGGATTTACAGTTGTTATTATTTTTTCTTTCTATATACTCTCCTTGCAGAAAGGAACTAGGGGCTCTCACATTCTCCAGAATTTCCTGATTTACAACATCTTCCCACTACAACCAAGTTAATCCCTTGAATCTTCCTCTATATATCACTTGATGTGTACAAATGTAACAACAAGTCTTTGCATGTATACATATGGGTGACTTATTTACAGGATAAGCATGGGCCAACTAGATGGGCAGCACAGATCACCTTTCTCACTAACATCATGTCGTAATTTTAAGACTGGGTACTAAAAACTTATCTGTAGTGATTTTCATACCCACATTTCAACACATGTCTTACCATCATGTTTTAATTGTGTAGATTTGAATAGATTTATTCTCATCATTAGGTTTTGGTATTTGTGAGTATGAAAACATAGCTACTGTCAGCCCTTCTCCCAAGAGAGCACCCTCTCATATATTTTATCTTCTTGACCAGAATTTGATTTAGTATCAACTAGGCTATAACTTTGAGACACAACTTGGAAGCTGCTATGAGAATGCTACCTTTCGGAACCTTGTCTGACATCTCCCTTGTTGTAAAGCAGGATATCAGTCATGTTCAGAATTCTAAGATTTCTTATTAGGGCCTTATGTGATTCCTATTAGTAAAAAGCCTCCCAGTTGTTATTTTATGAGTATATTGCTCGTTATATTTTCGTTTCCTATGTAGTCTTTAGGAACATTAGACTCTATAAACTTGTTTTCCATTCACTATGCCATTCACCATTTCTTTTTTTTGCTTTGTGGTTGCACATGCTGTAAGCAGGGAAAACTCTGTACTGAGTCTCTGACCAAGAAATACTTTTTCATGGTAATGATGATGATAATAATGATTTTCATTATGATGTCTTGACAGACAAGAAATCATTTCTCCAGTACCCGGGAAGAGATGGAAGAACTTAAGAAAAGGATGAAAGAAGCTCCCCAGACATGCAAACTTCCAGGACAGCCCACTATTGAAGGCTATCTCTATACACAAGAGAAATGTGTGTGGGGACATAGGGGTATCCATTGGGTTTCAATAAGCCAGGAACTACTGCCACTTGTCGGCTCTGAATTTTGGGCACCCTTACTGTTCATGGACCCCTGATAGCTACAATTCCCTTAGAGCGCAGGCAGGGAATACTGAAAACAAACAAACAAACAAAAAAAAAACAAAAAAAGGAGAAAATGAGAGGAAGTTGAAGATTTGTCTTACAAAGGCTGTGTAGTGATAAGACCTAAGGTTTTCTCTGAGATTCAAAATGGGTATTATTCGTTCTTTAATCCTTCTGATTACTCTTTTGGAAAAAAGGGAAGTAGAGGAAAGGAAGTAGAAAAATAATATTTCTTATACCTATTATGTACCAGACATGGTGCTAAGTTCATTGAAAACACTGCCTCATTTAATGTTTGCAACCAGTTTATACCCATACACATAAGGCCACTAAGGCTCAGAGAGGTCACCATTTGAAAGTCACACAACTAACAAGTGTCAGGACTAAAATTCAGATCTGTGAAATGCCAAAACCCATGATCCTACTATAGTACCCTATATTTTCGTCTGCATTAGGGTCATGTGTTTGCTCTTTTCTTTTTTTAAGACAGGATCTCGCCCTGTTGTCCAGGTTGGAGTGCGATGGCACCATAATAGCTCACTACGACCTCATACTCCTGGGCTCAAGCAGTCCTCCTATCTCAGCCTCCTGAGTGGCTGCAACTAAAGGCACCTACCACTGCGCTTGGCTAATTTTTGAATTTTTTGTAGAGACAGAATTTTTTGTTGCTCAGGCTCATGGATGCTGTTATAGCACTTAGTGAACATCATGATTCCAGTGGGAAAGACTGTATCTGTTTTTCGTTGGTGACTAAGGAAAGTGGGTTAACTTGTTTAGTCACTGAATGTTGTAGAGCATTCGATCTTTCCTAATTCCTCAGTAACATTATGCACACCTGTATGTGCGATTTGATTTTATTTGCCCTTGGAACTATGACTGAATACTCCCCAAACCTGTTATTCAGTTCTTGCCCAGAGTTATTATATCTGGGGATTAAACAGAAGACACACACCCAGAGACTGCCAGTGGCAAAAATCACTGTAATTCACAAAGCATGGCACTTCAGTAGTGAAATTATCACACTTTTCTTCGCATAGAGCAGTTCGCTTTTGGTGATTTGCAAAGCTGTATTCTCCCACTTGTCAGGTTCATCTCTTCAACTGTGCGTTGCACAATTTCTCAATCTCAGTGCTGTTGACATTTCAGGCTGGATAATTCTTAGTTCTGGGAAGTGGTCCTGTGTATTATAGTATATTTAGCAGCATCCCTTGCCTTTCCTCACTTTTTGCTCATAGTAATCTCCAGGTGTGACAACCTAAAATGTCTCTAATGTGTTGCCAGATGTCCCCTGGGAGGCCAAATTGCCCTTAGTTGAGAACCACTGCTGTATGCTGTGTGATCCTTCTGTGCTCCAGTATTCTGATTTGTCATATGGGCATGACATTGCTACTCAGTTGAATGTATGCTTAATGAGCACTGTTTCTGCCAGATACTGTGCAATGCATTGGGGACACCCTTGAAAAAATGAATCAACCATGATTTTTGTCACCAAGAAGTGGAAAGCGATGGGAGAGATAGACAAATATATCAATAATTATAATGAAATGTGGTGATCACTGTATTTGGAGCATATATCTAAAGGCTTCACCAAGAAAGTGGTATTTGAACTAGAACTTGAATGATGAGTGGGAGTTTGATAGGTAAAGAAGAGGAAGAATGGCCGGGCACAGTGGCTCACGCCTGTAATCCCAGCACTTTGGGAGGCTGAGACAGGCATATCACCGGAGGTCAGGAGTTCGACACCAGCCTAGCCAACATGGTGAAACCCAATCTCTACTAAAAATATAAAAATTAGCTGGGTGTGGTGACACATGCCTGTAATCCCAGCTACTTGGGAGACTGAGGCAGGGGAATCACTTGAACCTGGGAGGTAGAGGTTTCAGTCAGCTGAGATGGTGCCATTGTACTCCAGCCTGGGTGACAGAGTGAGACTCTGTCTCAAAAATGAATAAAATAAGAAAGAAAGAAAGAGAGCAAGAGCGAGAGCAAGAAAGAAAGGAAGGAAGGAAGGGAGGGAGGGAGGGAGGGAGGGAATTCCAGGTGTATACCACTGCATGAGTAGAGGCAGAGTTGTGGATAGACATAGTTGATTTGTAGGACCCTTGTCCAAGAATGGTCCTGCTTTACCCCTGCTGCCCTGATGTAATTATTAATAATACAGCTTCATTCAGTCTTAAATAAGTCTTGGATTTGGACTAGAAATTATATGGCTACCTCTTTATGTGGGAACTAAAAGTAATTCATTGAGACAGGAACATAGAGGTGAGGTGCCAAGAGAAAAAGCTGGAAAGGTAAGTTTCAATCATGTTATCAAGGGCATTGTAGGCAGGCTAAGGAGTGTGGAGATAGTGAGAAAGCCATGGATGGTTTCTAATGAGGGGAATGATAAAAATAGAGATATATTTTTAAAATAATCTAGCAAAAGAGTGGAGAATGAATTAGAATGGAGTGATCAGAGATGGGGACAATAGGGAAATCAGAAGGCCAATGAAATAATTGGTGAGATAGTAAATTTTTGTTTTTTAAAAATATGTCTCATAAAAAATAAATAAAAAATAAGACACTGGGCCTGGTGCCGTGGCTCATGCCTGTAATCCCAGCACTTTGGGAGGCTGAGGCATGCAGATCACGAGGTCAGATCAAGACCATCCTGGCTAACATGGTGAAACCCTGTCTCTACTAAAAAAAAGTACAGAAGGTTATCCAGGCATGGTGGCGTGGCGGGCGCCTGTAGTCCCAGCTACTCGGGAGGCTGAGGCAGGAGAATGGTGTCAACCTAGAAGGCGGAGCTTGCAGTGAGCCGAGATTACGCCATCACACTCCGGCCTGGGTGACAGAGCAAGACTCTGTCAAAAAAAAAAAAAAAAAAAAGAAATTAAACAAACAAAAACAACACTGATAGGGTTCTTAACTAATTCAGTGTCAATAGGAATGGAGAGGAGGAGACAGTTAAAAGAGAGATATGTAGAGTCATGTACAGGTTAGAAGGGGCATAACCCAATGACCAATCACATGGAACAGTTACAGAGACAGTAAAGTAAATGACAATAGTCTCCAGCTTCTGGGATACATGGTGATACCATTTATAGGGAACATGGCAGGGAGAGTAGGTTTTGAGCAAGCCAGAAGCAGCTGTGGGAAGCAGTTGGTGAAGGTTAGGATCTCCCTGTGTGCAGTAGGTAGGTGGCTATGGAAGGATGGCAGTCAGGGCAAGGGCGGGGCTGGATCTGAAGTTTGACTCTGATGAGCAATGTGTAAATAGCTTCAATCTTAGGGGTTGACTTCCTATATAGCTAAAACAGTTACTCTGTCTGCTCACTTTTACTTGTCCTCATAGGGGCTTTAGGAATATCCTGGGTGAAATACTATTGCCAGTATGAGAAAGAGACCAAAACACTCACCATGACGCCTATGGAACAGAAGCCAGGTGCTAAGCAGGTCAGTTCTTGTTTGCACCACATTTTTAGAAATGGATCTATGCCTGTTTCTCAGAAAAGAATATATGTTGACTTAGTATCAAATCATCAAGTTCATCACTGTTACATGAAGCCATGACTTTATATGTACATTTTGTCCTAAGTTTGAGTCAGATAGCACTGAGTTGAGTGAAAAATTTCTGTGTTAATTAGAGCAAGCCTTTTGAAAGTGTCAGTAGTCTTTCAAACCAGTTATTTTTACAAGTGCCAGTCACATTGTACAGTCAGCTATGTAAAAATATGGATGAATTACTTTTAAGAATTATCTACTCTTGGATTCTTTAAAATAACAAGTTTGTTTTTTTTTTTTTTTTTTTTTTTTTTGAGGCGGAGTCTGGCTCTCTTGCCCAGGCTGGAGTGCAGTGGCCGGATCTCAGCTCACTGCAAGCTCCGCCTCCCGGGTTCACGCCATTCTCCTGCCTCAGCCTCCCGAGTAGCTGGGACTACAGGCGCCCGCCACTTCGCCCGGCTAGTTTTTTGTATTTTTTAGTAGAGACGGGGTTTCATTGTGTTAGCCAGGTCTCGATCTCCTGACCTCGTGATCCGCCCGTCTCGGCCTCCCAAAGTGCTGGGATTACAGGCTTGAGCCACCGCGCCCGGCCTAAAATAACAAGTTTTAAAAATATGAATTGAATTCCAAAATTCCTTTTTTTGCAGGAGTGTGTGTGTGGCCTACGGTTGGAGTAACCAATACTCACATTCTATGTACTACTCAAATATCTTTAAGCAGTTAATCTCTCTTTTTCCGCCCTCCAAACCTCTCACTCCTGAAAATGACAAGATAAATTTAGCACACTGAAAACATAGTTTACTCACCTGGAAGAACCTGATCTTTTACATACACACACACACACACACACACACACACACACACACACACACGGATTTCTTAAGATAAAAGCTGATCTTTAGACAGATTGTTTATATTCTGAAAGTAGTTCAATGTGTCTCTTTCCCCTTTAACTGGCTCTCAGACAGGGTCTTAGTGCATGATTTTTAAGCATTTGCACTCTTTACAAATTGTTTGTTGGAAGTGCTTCAAGAGTTATTTGTTAGCATTGAAAGTAGTACACGAAGACCCAATTTAGGTAGGGAGGAATTTGGAGAAAAATTGGGACAGTTTCTCTCCCTTGCTGTTCCTTTTCATGGAAGATCTCTTTTGTGTGGCTTGCTCATATTGAATTAGAGAGGATGGAAATGTGCTTGCAGGCTACTGAAATTTTTTTGGAGTGAGGATGGTCTTTTAACTACAAGATTTACCTCCCTGCTTTAATGTGCTTCAGTGATGGGATGGTAGAAGATGTTGTATCAAACAGAGTTTCTGGAATCCTCAACTATGTTTTTATTATTATTATTATTATTTGAGATGGAGCTTCACTGTTGTCGCCCAGGCTCGAGTGCAATGGCACAATCTTGGCTCACGGCAACCTCTGCCTCCCAGGTTCAAGCGATTCTCCTGCCTCAGCCTCTTGAGCAGCTGGGATTACAGGTGCACACCACCACACCCAGCTAATTTTTGTATTTTCAGTAGAGATGGGGTTTCACCATGTTGGCTAGCCTGGTCTCGAACTCCTGACCTCAGGTGGTCCTCCCTCCTTGGCCTTCCAAGTTGCTGGGATTACAGGTGTGAGCCACGGCACCAGTTACTGTGCTTTTATCATGGGCCAGTTACTCATTCAAAACCCTCCTCAGTTTCCAGTCTGCCAATTGCCAAAGCACCTTTCAATGTGGTTCCAATAAATTCATCCTGTGTTTTAGCACTGATTTGTTCCAAGTCAGTCAGAACTTAGCTGATTAATCTGACTAGGAAGTGCTTATAAGCAACACTGGCCTGCAGTCTCTTTCTTTTATTTTTCTACACACATTACTTTTCAAATACCAGAGAGGAAAGCTCCTCTTGTAGACAATAATTTCATTTAGGCACTTTTTCTGAGGCTGCTCGGAGGTGCTTTATTGCAAACCCCGAGACAGAGTCAGCAGATACCACTTTCATATCCTCCTGACAGATGCCAGCAAGCCCTCCTTTTAGTTTTTCTTTCCCTCTTCTCTTTTCATCGAGTAGCTGCTTGCAAAACTGCAATGGTGGTGGCCTGTGCATTTTTAATGTGGTATTCCTTATGGAATGGAAAGGAGAACTTAGTTACTCACTTACAAGGCAGAGGGAGGTGGTGGGAGTTAATTGGATTTCCCCAAATTGGAGTTGGAAGTGGTTTCTTCCTGAAAGTTCTCTGTTTCACTTCCTAATACTAGTTTGTATTTTACAATTATAAATTTTACAAATAAATGATACCATAATAAGAACACTACAAAAGCCACTATTTCTTGAATAACTGCTGTGTGCCAGACAATGAACTAGACCCTTCTGTCATATTCATGCTCCTCATTTGCCCTCCTAGCAGCTATGTGAAGTCAGTGCCCCCAATTTGTGTAGGAAGTGAGACCAATTTGAAGATGCAGGAATTGGCCATCTTTCTGACTATGGCACTTACTATAGTGTTGGTTCTACTACTTTAGCCTGTCAGCTCTCATCTGTGTTGTCATGTTCAATTTTCTGATCACCTTCTCAAATGATAATTTATTAGATCTTCATCCCTTCCCTGTTAGGAATTTGTGGTCAGGAGTACTGCATTTTGAATCTTCAGACCTGTGTTTAAATTTTAGCTCTGTGGTCTGGTAGCTTTTTGACCTTGAGTAAATTGCCTAATGTTGCTCAGTCTTAGTTTCCTCATCAGAAAAGTGGTAAGGATGATAAAGTAGTTCATAAACATTTATTGAGCACTAAGTATTTGCAAGGTACTGGAGGTATAAAGATGAATAAAACACTGTTCATGTTTTTGAAGACTTCCTAGTCAAGTGGTGAAATTAAACCTAAAAACAGGACATTTTAATATTATGTGCAAAGCACATAGTGGGCAATGTGTTGGTTTGAAGAAGGATTTTTGAGGAAGTGAAAGCTGAACTGCAGTTTGTAGAATAAGTAAGAGTTTAGTCAGGCAAAGAAGATAGACAAGGTCATTTTGGGTGGAGGGATTAATATAGGCAAAGTCATGCAATCTTGAAATAGCATGATACGTATGTGAAATAAGAGTACTTTTGCATTGTAGGGGCATTAAACAGTTGAGCAGTCACTGGAGATGAGATTGGAGTGATGGTCAGGGCCTAGGTCCCTGAGCTGAAATGCCATTGAAGCTGAGGGCATTGAGAATTTAAAGAGATAGAGTGAGTCTGTGACTTTGCTCATAACCCTCATTTTGAAAGACTAATGCGTGGCATCCCAAATTTGGGGGTAGGAAAGCATACTGAAGGATTAATTTAGAGTTGAGTTGTTATAGTGCAGGAGCAAGGACAGATTGGCCTGCAAGTGGTTGAGTGTGCTGACGAGTAAGAAGTATTGGGTAATGAGCCACATGGGCCAGTTTGTATGTCATAGTATCTAGGCACCTGGGCAGTGTTTCCTAACTTGAGATACCACAGTGGGTTGTGTTATTCCCATTTAATAGATTGTGAAGTTAAGACTTGGAGATGGAATATTATTTATTTATTTATTTATTCATTTATTTATTTATTTTTGAGACGGAATCTTGCTTTGTCACCCAGGCTGGAGTACAGTGGCGCGATCTTGGCTCACTGCAGCCTCTGCTTCCTGGTTTCAAGCGATTCTCCTGCCTCAGCCTCCCAAGTAGCTGGGATTACAGGCACCCACTACTGTGCCTGACTAATTTTTGTATTTTTAGTAGAGACAGGGTTTTGCCGTCTTGGCCAGGCTGCTCTCCAACTCCTGACCTCAGGTGATCCACCTGCCTTGGCCTCCCAAAGTGCTGGGATTACAGGCATGACCTGCTGTGTTTTGGCCAGGGTCACATAGCTGGTAAATGGCATAACTGAGACAAGACCCTAGGTCTTAAGCTTTCTAGTGTGTTGTTATTTCCGCTATACCAATTTGGATGACTTTGAGTATGCCGTTTTACCTCTTTAAGTGTCACTTCTCTATAATGGTTGTTAACAAGAAAAGTGGCTTAAAAATACCTGGCATAGGCTGGGCACGGTGACTCATGCCTGTAATCCCAGCACTTTGGGAGGCTGAGGTGGGTGGATCACGAGGTCAGGAGTTCGAGACCACCCTGACCAACATGGTGAAATCCCATCTCTACTAAAAATACAAAAATTAGTCGGGCATGGTGCGCACCTGTGATCTCAGCTACTCAGGAGGCTGAGGCAGAAGAATCGCTTGAACCTGGGTGGCAGAGGTTGCAGTGAGCTGAAGTCGCACCACTGTATCATTGTATTCTAGTCTGGATGACAGAGCAAGACTCCGTCTCCAAAAAAAAAAAAAAAAAAAAAAAAAGAATATGTAGTGTGTAATATATGGCACACAGTAAGTGATAAATGGATAAATGTTACTTGTCTTTCCTTTATCACATGATCTCTGTTGAGATAAGAGAGGGAATCTGAACAAGGTGAGACTGCAGAATTTTAGTCTGTGGACACAGCGGGTTTTAATTCCCTTAATTACCTACAGGACTAAAGTGGGCCACCTGTCCTTGCCGCACATATGAAATATCAAATGCCACCATGACTAATACACACATTTACTATTTCCTCTACTTTTGCACTACCTTTGGAGCAATTAAGTTTGTGATTTCTGTCATCCTAAAGAGTCTGGATGTTGGGGGACAGAAATGTTTTTCTCCCCTCCTTCATCTGCCACTTTAATGGAAGCTTCCTTGCTCAGCTACCCTCTGACTTTCTAAGGGAGGTTTTAGACATCCACTTACCCTGTCACAATTTCCCTCCCTAGAGGCCTCATGAAAATTTTATTCTGTACACTTAATGCCATTCAGGCAGCCCATTTCTCCTACACTCCCCTTACATGATGTGTATTGAGCTTCCTGTTAAGTCTTCCTTCTTGGGAAAGAGTGCTGGATGACTCTGAACAATTTCTCCTGGTCTCAGCCATTGATTCTTGGAGCGGGGAGAAACCATCTGCCATCTTGCTGCAAATACTGTTTGAAGGGACAAGATTCTCAGTGAGTCTACACATTGCTCCTGCTGCCTTGACCAGACGCCTTCCAAGTGACACTGAAGACACTGTAGGAAGCAGAAACAGCTTCTGTGTATTTTTTTAAAAATTGCCTGTTAATTCTTGTTTCATACCAGGGGCCCTTGGACTTAACACTGAAGTACTGTGTGAGAAGGAAGACGGAGTCTATCGACAAGAGGTTCTGTTTTGATATAGAAACTAATGAAAGGTAAGCTGTGCCGCTGTGAATTGGCAATGTCTCCACGTGCCAGATGCTTAGCCTGGGTAGGTCTTTTATTTTCTTCCATCATCCCACGTTGATGACAATGAGTAAGTCTATTCAGGACTTTGTTGTGAGTCTATTCAAGCCAGCTCTTCTGACTGCCCTTCCCAGGGATCCCTGCTAGACCTGGCCCAGTGCTGCTTTTCTCTGTGCAAGCTTCTGTCAGCTTTGCCTCACTTGCTCTAGGAAGAAAAAGTCTCTCCTGGGATTTAATTTGCTATCATATGTGCAAAAGGTCAACATTTGGTGATCCTGCAAGAAGGAAAGGATAACAAAGCTCATTCTTTGTTAAATCTCCTAATATCACATAAAAGAACAAATGAATTCGCACACGTTTTTGAGGGAGGGAAGATGAGGTGGAGGGTCATGGTGTATTAGAAAGTCATTTCCTCCCATTTGGTGCAAAAATGATGCAGATCTTCCCTACTTTACAGATACTCATATGAACTGGAAATAGTGTGATTATCACCTTTCAGATCTTAGAGCTAAGGCTTGCACATTTTGGACTTCGTTGTGTTTGTTTCTCCCAAGTGCCTTCTTTTTTTACTTGAACCTGAGCAGTTTTATCAGAGGAGAATTTTAACCATTAAAATTTCAAATGAGTGCATTTGGTATTATTGTGGAGAAAGACATGCTTTATAGTTGGGTGGTTGTACCAAAATAAACAGAATAAATCTGTTTCTAGAGTTTATCTCAACCTTTTATTTCTATGTGTTAGATACTTAGTAATAGAACAGAATTTTGCAAAATGATCAGATTGCTAGAAAGGAACTTGAATGGTGAATTACAATATCATGTGAACAAAACTAGCAGTGACTGGGATCATAACAATCAGACTAAATGATGAGGGCATTTTTTAAAAAATCAGGGAATAAAGGACTTAGCTTGTTTCCTTATTTCAAAATTGAGAGATTATCATTTGACCCTCATAATTTCGATTTGTGAATCTATATCATTTCTTTGATAAAAATGGATGATCCCAGTTGAGATGGTTCTGAAAGTATATATTGTTGCCAGTAACCATGAGACTGTCACTCATTTTCCTGATAGCCTCAGTTCCAGTAGGAAGAGGAAAATTAATGTTGGCTGTGGCTTCCCTTTTATGCAAATAATATCCCCAACTCAAGCAGTTGCAAACAGTTTGTCCCCGTGGGTAGGGGCTAGGATCAATTTATGTTTCTTGTACCTGGTGCTATGCATGGCTCATGATAAGTACTACATTTGATGTTTATTCTTAAGTGTGTTTTTTTCTTATCCCAGAATGCTGAAGAATTTTGACACTAGAACCCAGGGATTAAAGTTTTGATGCATCTACACTTTTAGTTATTATATACTGTGCACTTTGCAAAGCATTCCCTCATTTAATCTACCACCCCCCCGCCCATTTTGCCAGTGAGGAAACTGAGACCCACATACATTTAACTGACTTGCCCAACTAAAGTCACATAGTAAGTGGTGAGGCTGAGCTCAAACCCTAGTCTGTAGGTCTCCGGTCTGCAAAGCCCATGCTGGTTTCTTTTTGTTTGTTTTGTTTGTTTTGAGATGGTATCTCTCTCTCTTGCCCAGGCTGGAGTGCAGTGGTGCACAACCTCCACCTCCCAGGCTCAAACGAGTCTCCTGCCTCAGCCTCCCAAGTAGCTGGGACTACAGGCATGTGCCACCATGTCCAGCTAATTTTTGTATTTTTAATAGAAATGGGGTTTCACCATGTTGGCCAGGCTCCACTTGAACTGGCCTCAAGACATCCACCTGCCTTGGCCTCCCAAAGTGCTGGGATTATAGGCATGAGCCACTGTGCCTGGCTCCATGCTGTTTTTAATTTTGTTCTATTGTCTATTATAAGCAGAAGAAACAAACTGCAAAATAGAGCATTAAATATAATAATGAACAGGTGCTGAGGCCCCTCTCTGCATGTGGAGTCTTTTGAGTGACATGACATCTGCTTTTCTGGCTAGTCAATCTGATATAAGGAAGAGAGTCAGGCTTCCTAGCAGGCATCAGGCAGCTGTACTCACATTCCCTGGAGCACAGAGCAAAGGGCTCTTTGAGTCACCTTTTTCTATGTCAGGAAGAGAGGATAAGTTTTTTTATTTTTTTAACTTTTAGTTTTTTAGAGAGAGGGTCTTACTCTGTTGCCCAGGTTGGTTTGTATTGGCACAGGTTCAAGTGATCCTCTTGCCTGAGCCTCCTGAGTAGCTGGGACTGACAGGTGTGTACCACCACATCTGGCTAATTTTTTATTTTTTGTAGCTGTGGGGGTTTGCTATGTTGCCCAGGCTGGTCTTCAGCTCCTGGCTTGCAGTGATTCTACCCTGTCGGCCTCCCAAAGTGCTCATATTACAGGTGTGAATCACTGCACCTGGTTCTAAATTTAGGCTCTTAGCAGGATTTAAAATGACAGGCTCATAGCAAGGCAGAGCTTGAAATGTTTTAGTAACAATAGCAACAAAAATAATTGTGATAAAAATAAAAACAATTGCTAACATTTGCCAAGTATCTCTTTTGTGACAGGCACTGTTATCAGCCATTTAAGTGTATAGTTTCCTTTAGTTGTCACCACAGTCACATGAAGGAGGTGATGTTATTTGAATTTTGGTTTGTGAATCTCTATCATTTCTGTGTTAACAATGGATGACCCCATTCAAGGTGGCTGTGGAAGTATATATTGTTGCCAGTAACCACAAGACTGTCATTAAGAGGTGCTTTAATGAAGTAAGAGATGGTACGACAGGAGCCCCATGATTCCAGCAGGTAGAACAGGATTCCTACGATATCAGTAATGGAAAGGACCTCCCAGCTCCTGTGTTCCAGCACCCTTTCAGATAAAGAAACCGAGGTCTAGAGAGGCCTAGTTACTTATCCAGGGTGGCTGAACTCTCTTGGCATTGCTTTTATCATTCTTTGACACTAGGAGAGGTCTCATCTTATCATAGAATTTGTGGAAGGAAAAATGTTTTCCTGATGGCTCAGGTAGCCAAGAGAAAGCAAGGAGACTTTATACCTTGCATAAAGTGTGGTTAATCTCAAAATTCCAGTTGAGTCACAAAGATCTAAAAAGACCATAAAGAGCATAACAACTTAGGATACCTCTGGGTAGTTAGTAGTGTCTTAGTCCATTTGAGATGTTATGACAAAATACCTGAGACTCAGTAATATATCAACAACAGAAATTCATTTGTCACATTTCTAGAAGCTGGAAGTCCAAGCGGTTTCAGTGTCTGGTGAGGACCTGGTCTCTGTTTCCAAGATGGCATCTTGTTGCAATGCCCTCCAGAGAGCACCAACACTGTGTCCTCATATGTCAGAAGAGACGGAAGGGAATGAACCCACTCTTTCAAGTTTTTGTAAAAGGACCCTAATCCCATTTATGAGGTTCTACCCTTATCACTCACTCACCCCCTGAAGGTCCCATTTCTTGATATCATCACATTGGTAGTTAAGTTTTAACCTATGAATTTTGGGGAGTATTCAGACCACAGCAGGTAGCCTGCAAATAAATGAATAAAACAGGGTTTGAAGCCGTGTGCCAGGCAGAAGAGGCCTTATATTGTAGTAGTGAAGAATATGGCTGCTGGACCAGACTTTCTGGATTTAAGTCCTGTCTCTAGTAGTTCCCTGCTACATGACCTTGGATAATTACTCTGTGCCTCAGTTTCCCCTTCTGTGAAGTAGAGATGATTACTATAACTGCCTTATTGTGTATATTAATTGAGTTAATATACATAGTTTACTTGGAACAAAATTTGTCACCAAGTAAGCATTCAGTAAATATTAGTTTTTTTTTTATTAGTCATAAAATGCTTGTTAGCCAAAACGCCTCCTCCCTGTGTCTTAGCCAGTACTCATGTTGTTGAATTTATTCCAACTCAAAATGTTTCTTGGACATCGCAGGTGCTAGAAGAAGCAAAGCCATTTTACTGACAGATGAATGTGCCTGTGATGTACATGCTCATTCCTAGAACTCAGACAAAGTGTCTGGCTTCCAACAGAGTAAGGCAGGGAGAACCTTTGTTTGGTTCAGGCACAATGGGGCCAATTTAGGTGTGCATTATGGAGGCATCTTGACAGTTACCTTCCTATTTCTTGCACGATCCTGGCACAAGGCCACCAAGATACCACCCCCACCTCCATGGTTCCCAAAGTTACTGTTCTCTAAATTGCCTATTGTTTTCTTGAGTAAAAGAGATTTTGAAAAATGAGTATTCTGTAGGCCTGTGCTTGTTCAGTGTGGCAACCTGCAGGGCAGAGAGGGACCCTAGATCACAAGACTCCATTCTCTCAGATGAATTTTCTGCTTTATACTTATCATTTTTCCCCCTCAGGCCAGGAACCATCACTCTGCAGGCCCTTTCAGAAGCTAACAGAAGGCTATGGATGGAAGCCATGGATGGGAAAGAACCTGTAAGTTACCTGACACTGGGGAAGCCTCCCCAGCTTATGCCAGTGTATGAGTGCCCTCTAGTGTTATCAGTGTGTCTCAGACAATTAAATGGTAATGGATTGTTTAGTCTCAGTTTTAGAGCTGTAAGAAATTGTTTCCACATCTCTTAGCAGGTAAGGCAACTGGAGTTCCAGAAAGGTTGAGGGACTTTTCTGAGACCACCCTCAGAGAAGACATCAAAACTGGGCTTAGAATGCAGATCTCTCAGCTCCCTGCTCTAGTGTTAGACTATGTAGCTCTGCCCATAAGCTATTTTTCAGAAAGAATTAAGCCATTTTTCAGGTTATGAAATCAATATGTGTTAATTAATATGAAAAATAATTGCCATAGTTATACATAAGCACTTATTAAATATTTATTCAGAATGATTTCTCTGCCTCATCCTTATACCACCAACTCAGCTATTCTCTTCGAGGGTACAGCTGGTAGCGGAGATGGCATTGCCATCCTGTATCACAAGATGTACTGTTCCATTTAGAACACCGTTATGCAGGAGGACAAGCAATCCCTTGAAAGCGTTACTGATTATCGTCAAGCGACCAATAGGAACAGTTGGAAGTAATTGAAAAACGTTCTAGTTTCTTAGTGGCATATGAAATAATATCAGCTTCCTGGTGTTGGAATTCCAAAAGCTTGGATATAGGTACTAGTTCTGCCATTAAATGGTTATGTGACCCTGGGCAAATCGTTTCACCTCTCTGAGATTCAGTTTTCCTCTCAGTAAAACGGCTTTAATAATTTCTTTCTACCTATCTCGCAGGGTTGCCTAGAAAAACCAGATGGAAATCATCTTGTAAACCACAATGTGCTAGCCGATGTGAATGATGGGATACAAAACTCCAAAGATCCAGCAGTGTTCAGATACAGTCTTATTTCCTTGCTTTATTCAAGTGAAAAACTGGCTAGGAGAGAAAATGCATTCTAGGTTTTTCTTTCTATGCGTCCTTGGTATCCTGGAGAATTTAGAGGGATAACTAGATCCCAGATTACACTTATAGTAAACTGGAAGGTAGCAGGAGAGACTTGGTATTCTGAAGACTGCCATCCAGAAAATATTCCAGCACTGTCTTCCTTCTGTCACCTCCCAGAAACCTGCTGCTGAACTCTTTCATGCTTGTGACGTTTCTGTAGGCAGATGCTAGGAAGCTCAGCAAGGCATTTATCTTTCAATTCCCTCTCTTAAGTTTGCTCTCCCTTTAGGTTTTCCAAAATCAAAGGATGCAGATGGCTTTTTGTGGAGAATGATGTGAGCACATGGGCCCACTGAATGTGGATCCATACCAACTTGATCATGGCAGATTTTTCCACAAATCCCTTGTTTAGAAAAGTAGCAGCAAAGGCTGGCTGGCACAGAAATATCTCCCACTGAAATATCTGTGGGCATACACACATATACAGAACTTATTTTAAGGACAGGCTGTTCAAACAGACTCTTAACAGATGGCGTATAGAGGGCTCATTTCCTGCAGCCTTACATTACTAATGTTGTTGCTCCTTTACTCAACACTCCAGTTCACTAGTCTTACATATCTCGTCCATGCCTTTGCCTAAACTGTCAAAGATCAGGGCTTGAAGGAATGTTTACTCCAACGCTGATCACTTTACTGATATAAATTTTGAGATCTGGAGAATGGAAAGGGCATGCCCAAATTTCCTAAGAGGTAGAGGTAGAGCCAGGACTAGACTTCAAGAGTCAACAATCTCCTTTCTGGTCTCTCACAAAGCTATCACAGTGCATACTCTAAGATAACACAGACAAATCTTGGTGTATTCATGGATCTCTTTCAGATGGACATTTGCCTTTCCACAGAGAAGCATTCATCAACTAGTCTTTGAGGGTGGGAGATTGGTATTAGGAACATTTGAATTTTATAATGTCCATCAGACAGGTACATAGCCATGAGGAAAACACTTTCCTGGTCTCTTGATTTATTATAAAAATGCCCCAGGCATTACATAAGGAAATATCTAAGATGGATTGGCTACAACTTTAGCTACAGTGAACTATGTGAAATTCAGTGTAATTTTCAGTGATTGTTCAAGTATTTTCTTTTTTCTTTTTTTTGAGATGGAGTCTCACTCTGTTGCCCAGGTTGGAGTACAGTGGTGTGATCTCAGCTCACTGCAGCCTCCACCTCCTGGGTTCAAGAGATTCTCCTGACTCAGCCTCCCGAACAGTTGGGATTACGGGTGCACGCCACCATGCCTGGCAAATTTTTGGATTTTTGTAGAGATGGGGTTTCATGATGTTCACCAGACTAGTCTTAAACTCCTGACCTCAAATGATCTGCCTGCCTTGGCCTCCCAAATTTCTGGGATTACGGGCCTGAGCCGCCATGCCTGGCCTGTTCAAGTATTTTCTAGCAATCTTGGCAAAATGGTTATGTTTAGCCCACTTGCCTATTTTGTTGACATCCTGGAGTTTCTAATCATTTTTTAATGCCTATCTGGGGAAAGAGATTTAATATTATGTTCTCTGTTTTCCTATATTGATTGACAATAGCCATGGATCTTTCTGTTTATCTTCTTTTGTAGATCTACCACAGCCCTATAACAAAACAGCAAGAAAGTGAGTCACTCAAATTTTTGGTCTACTAGCATTATAAACTGCCACCTGTCCTATTCATAGTAAATACCATCATTAATGATGTGTACTATTAATGCAAGTCTGAATATGGATGCCTTTGTGTGAAATAAAATTCAGCCATATATTTTTTAAATGTGTCTGGTAATTGAAGTAAGGTAGACACTTTGTGTTAGCTTACATCGTGGGTAGAGAAACATCCTTCCTGATCTGGAAGCATGATAGAAATTGTGTGTATTTTTAGGCTAACATTTCACATATGACTTTGCTCATGCTGAAAGCAGACAATGCAAAGGGCTAAATAGAAGTATTTTGTGTTTTAAGAGTTAAAATGCTCAACCTTCCCTGAATAAATGAATCTTTCCATTTAAGGGTGATTGGAAGTGAGCTACCAAAAACCCTTAGCTCTCTCAATGCAGTCCCTTTGCATAGTCATTAAATGTTTAATAGGTGACACCTGTTGCAGCAGGCGCTAACTGTTTTCTTTTGCTTGAAACAGTGGAGCTAAATGAAGTGGGCTTCAAGTTTGTCAGGAAGTGCATCAATATTATTGAGACCAAAGGTAAGATCTGAACCATAGCCTTGGCGTTGTCTGAATCTGGTCACTCTGATGTTATCCTGGGCAATTTCTCTGAAGTAGCATTTTAGGAATGAAGACTGTTTACAAAGCTTATGTAGTAGATACAAGCTAGAAAATTTCAGAAAATTCTAAACTAGTGGTATGCAAGCATATTTGGATAATTTGTGGATTCCTGCTTTTAAAGAGCTTATAAGTTTATAAAGTATTCTCAAATAGTACCTGGGACTCCTTAAGCAGTGTCATGATGGTTCTATCCTAAATAATGAAGAGTTCGATTTCTGCCACAATACATACTGGTATAAAAATTGATGGGGGCAGAACTAAACTCAGGGAGATGTGGAATCAGCATTCTTTCTGGTTGCCGATACTCTCTGGTTTCCTTCTGAGGATATTTAGACTGTGGGCAAGTGTAGTATATGAATCAAGTCTCTTTGTTCTTTAAAATGTTTTTTTAGTCCTTCTTGGTGCAGGAAATGGCCTTTTGTTTCACAGCTGCCTTACTCCAGCCCTCTCCTGCTTTGTGTCACTGCTTAGAAGCAACTTGAGAGCTGATCCTTCCTTCTTTTTCAATTAAATGAACTTTCTAAGATGGCAGCACCATTCTCAGCTTTCTGCTGCTGCCCAAACTAAGCACATGCTTCTATATACTATAGAGTTTGTTTTCTTCTCTTCAGATTAATGAGCAGGCTTGGTATACTCCAAGTGAAAGGATGGATAATTTGGAGAGATGCTTTAGGACTATTCCCCTGTTACAGGGAAGGCTGGAGAACTTGGAATATGTAGTGTGACCCCTTCCTATCTGAATTAACTCTAGTGTACCAGGGGGAGATGACAACTCTAGCTATACAAGTGAAATTAACCTGATTTTTTCCTCCACTAGGGATCAAGACAGAAGGGTTGTACCGCACTGTGGGCAGCAATATTCAGGTTCAGAAGCTGCTGAATGCCTTTTTTGGTAACAATTTTACTTTGATAATTCTTACTGGGAGTACTTTATATGTTACAAAGAAATGTGACTGGAAGAGAAAGGAGATACTGCTAAAAAATGTGGTAGAGTAGTTGAAAAAAAGTATTTTCTAAGGTAAAACATACACATACTTGCCCACCCTGGGCAGAGTCAATTGTACCTTGAAAATGGCTGTTATCTCTCCTTCCTCATATCCCATTCACTCCAGAAACCCTCAGCAATCCAACTTCTTCCCCTATGTTTCAACTGGAACTGCGTGGCCAGGCTTAGTAGGTATCTTCTTACCAAATCCAGTGAACACTTTTGAGTTTCTGTCTTACTTGATCTCCTTGTTGACCACTGTCTCTTTTTTGAAAATTTCTCCTTACATGACTTCATGACTTCCATAACACATCATCACTCTTCTGATTCTTCTCACATCTTTTTTCTTTTTTCTTTTTTTAGACAGGATCTAGCTCTGTCGCCTAGGCTGGAGTGCAGTGGCATGATCATGGTTCACTGCAGCCTCAACCTCAACCTCCTGAGTAGCTGGGACTATAGGCGTGTGCCACTACACCAGGCTGATTTTTATATTTTTTTGTAGTGATGGGGTCTCACTATGTTGCCTAGGCTGGTCTTGAACTTCTGGCCTTCAATCATCCTCTTGCCTTTGCCTCCCAAAGTGCTGGGATTACAGGCATGAGCCACAATGCTTGACCTCTTCTAACATCTTATAGGATTCCTTTTCAGTAACTTGCTGAACCTTTATCTTTCTGTTTTTTACACCTTGACTGAGTGTTTCCTACAGTTCTATCTTTGTTCGGGTTTACTTCTTCTTTTTTTTTTTTTTTTTTTTTTTTTTTACATGTTTTTCTATTGATTGATTTTTTTTTTTAAATTCTGGTTATGGCTCACATTTTTGTTTCTTAAAAAATATTTCTTGTAATCTTTATTGGTTGCTTGATATTGTGACTTACTGAGTGTCTTGCTTTTGTTGATTTCTTTTAAAGAGGACTGAATTTTCTTTGTGGGCAGTTATTTGTGGATCAACTTGATTTGAGTCTTCTTTTAAAGTTTTCTTAGGCCAGATATAAAGTATCCACCCCCAGGTAAGGTTGTTGAGCTCTTTTTCTACATAGCTCACTCTTCTCTGGTATTGTGCCTTGCTAATTCTAGCTGCTTCAACAAGTCTTGCTTCTAGCAAGACTTCCATGCTCAGCTTAGTTCCCACTCCATCTACTGCAATCTAAAAAGTGCTTTTAAGAAGCAGGCTGTGGAGAAGGTAGCAGTTATCTTGTTTGTTTCCCTCTTCTCAGAGTCATAGTCCTGTGTTGTCCATTGCTCAATAACTACATGCAGGAGTTTCCTATATACTGTCTAGTTTTCTAGTTGTTACAGCAGGAAGGCAAGTCTGATACCAGTTAGTCCACCATGGCTGGCAGTGGTAGTCTCTCTTTATGCTTTTTACTAGCACCTGTATGCTGACAACTCACAAAATCTCTGTTTCAGACATCTTCTGATGAGTTCTAAATGCAAATATTCACTTGCCCACTGCACCTGTGCTTCTCAGTCATCTTAAGGTCATGACACACATCAGAATGATCACCTTTATATAGCATGCTCGAGTAAATGGACATCACTGAGGCAAGAAGCCCTAAAGGCTGAGGGAATCAATATTGGAGTCTCTGCACAAGCTCTCTCTATGTAGATGGTTCACAGGTATCTACCTGCATTTCTCTCCCTGCAAACCTACCTTTCTTCCTTTTGTGGGTGGCAGTGAAGCATCTTGTAAGCTGAGTTTTCACAGTGTCAGAGAACAAATGGAGTGTGGAAAACTCACTTAGATAAAGTACATATTTTTTGGTCCTTACTGTGATGCATAGCTAATCTCTCAAAAGCCTGCAGGTCTGACAACCAACCCTACTCACATTTGAGGATGTTACAGCACTCAGTCATAGCAGGTGTGGTTTTGGAATTCCAGATTACATCATTAGTATCTCAGCATCTGTTTTCATTAATCACCTTACATTCTTGACTTTTAAAAGTTTGGATTGCTTATTCCTGGTCAATTTGCAACCCATCTCATTAGCTAAGGACACTTTTTCATATGTAAATCAGCTGATAGCATGGTCCAGCATATTGAATCTCTGAAAAATTATTGAACTCAGATATTTATTCAGATAATTATTGAACTATTGAAAATTCTGTTTCCAGTATCACTACATCCTTATATCTGTTGTATAATAAGCTAAAAAATACCATGCCAGGCATCCCACTGATTCTCTTATGGGTTTTAATGGGACTGAAGTGGTTTCTTCAAATCACACATGGCGGTACAATTTGATTCAAGTATTAAGGAAAGTGGTAGAGTTGGTGTATTTCATTTATTCAAAACCATCCTCCAAATATTAACTCTCATTGGAATATCTAAAATATACCAGGAAGTTCTAGATATAAATATTGATAGATACAATATAAAACTGTTAACTTCCTTATTTGTATATGAAAATGGCAACCCCGATCCCTGCCCCGAATGTATGAAACTCGAGATGTGGTGATGATCCTCATTCATTTATTTATTCATTGAACAAATATTTGTGTGCCTACCCGAGCATCAAGCATTGTGTTCAGGGCTGAGGACTGAAAAGTGAACATATTCCCTGTGTTTTCCACCTTTGTGGGGCTTACATTCTACTGGGAAACTGTCTCTCAGTTACCTTTCAATGTCTAGTTATGTGGGGAGACCTTCCTTCTAAGTTTCTTTCATGTGATGTCCTCTGGCGTATCTCACTGGGATCCTCAAAGCTGTCTTGCTTCTTTTCACCCTTTCCTGATCTAGTCTCATAGCACTAGGGGCTTGTTGCCTTGGTTGCATGTGGACCCATCATGATTTATCTTGGAGGGTGAATATCTATTGCCTTTTGGTTATGTACCATCTCTCCCTCTTTTTTTTTTCTTAAGTCTCATGCTCTATGCTAGTCAAAAGGATACTTCTTGTTATTTTTTTAGTCTAAACAACCCTCAGACTTCTCTCCCTATGACATCTCCTAAACTTGTAACTGTAGGCTTTCTTCTATCATTTACTAAAGCCTTTTCTTCTTCCCCTACACAAAAGTTTGTCTTTTTGGGAAATAAAATATAACACAGAGTATAAAGTCAAAGGCAACACATAATCAATAGTTATTTTCAATCAGGCTGTTGGTTGGTTGGTCACATTCCTTGCCTACACCAGATTTTTGTATGATGCTTTACGTATGAGGTTTTATGCACTGTGAGGATTAGCGTCTTCACTGGTGCTGGATCCATCGTAAGCCACCTTGGCACAGAGAAGCCAATCTGATCATCTCAGGGACAACTTGGAACCTCATGTAAGAGTTCTGTTTCTCTTTCCTTTATCAAGCTATAACTATCTTATTAATGAAAATGCCTCCCATTGTCATTATAGTCTTAATAATCATGTTGTGCTCCAGAGACTCTTAAGTATTTCACAATGGAGCAGATGGGTGAGATGGGGCATGGAGAGCGATAAGATTGATTGTATCAGCAGGGGCTCTTGATAGAGTTGAGCCTGGTTGGCAGCCATAAGCAGGAAATTGTTGTTCCCATAATCCCCTTACCGTGCCAGAGGCCTATGGATCTAAACAGAAGAGGACCTGCTGTAGTGAGTGAAGTAACAAGTCACTTGTAAGATGTTATTTATGTTATTTTCATTTCCTGTTTAAATATTTAAATTTCTCATTTCATCATTATGGCATTAGAATAAGATACGTGGACTTCTCAGAAACCAAGTGGAATACCTAATATACATAGACAGATAATAGGGTAGAAATATGCACATAGTCATTTTTCTATTTTCATAATTAATGTGAATTATTCAGCATCTGGAGACTTAACTTTAGTATTAAATTCACATATATTTGGACAAATAGATAATAAATACATTAATCAGAAATACTTTCAAGTTATGTGACTGAATGAGAAGTTCAGAGTCCCCTAGCAAATAAAACAAAAACATAACACACTCCACTTCAGGAACTGCAGAACTTGAACTCTGTGTGTTAATCTTTAAAGCAACTGTATATGTTAGCCATCTTTCTGATATTGTCGTATGGTGTGATCTTTAGCTTTTCATACATATCAAAATACTTTATTCATAAAGCCAGATCCTTGTATATGTGCGTATATGTATACATGTATGTCATAAATAAATTTTACATAGGTTCAATACATTAACCATTACTATACTTACTACTTTAAATACATTGATTATTCTCAAATCATGCTTGCTTTGAAATAGTACCACTAGAGTTTGAAGTAATTTATCAATGGATATTTACTGTTACCCTTTCAAAATTATTTCCTATTTGCATTTGACTATGAAGCTGAGTTCAAAAACTTTTAGAAATAAAGTTTGATATGAATATTTGTTCCTTGTCTATTATTTTCTCAATATCTGAATAATTGATAGCAAATTCATCTTTAGTTCTCATCTGACATAATGCCATTTCCTATCATTCTTGTAAGTATGTAAATAGTAGGATGGGAATTTTTCTCTTAAAGGTATTTTAACTTAGCAAAAATAATTTCAGTTGTTGATATATGAATCTAGCAATGCTGTTATCGCACCTGCTTCCTGCTGCAGGGTTTCTGACTTGGGGAGAGTCTTTCAGCTATGTCACCATGAATGAGGATCCAGGGGATTGCTTGTATTAGTTTCCTAGTGCCGCTGTAATAAATTATCACAAATTTAATGACTTAAAACAATACAAATTTGGCCGGGCACAGTGGCTCATGCCTGTAATCCCAGCACTTTGGGAGGCCGAAGCGGGCGGATCACAAGGTTAGGAGATCGAGACCATCCTGGCTAACATGGTGAAACCCCATCTCTACTAAAAATACAAAAAATTAGCCAGGCGTGGTGGCGGGCACCTGTAGTCCCAGCTACTCGGGAGGCTGAGGCAGGAGAATGGCGTGAACCCGGGAGGCGGAGCTCGCAGTGAGCCGAGATC